ACACAGAATATGTATATATATATATACATATATATACATATATATATAATATATATATATGTATGTATGTTTATGTATCTAAGAACAAACATTTATTATATAAGCAATTATGTCGTCATTTTATGCATTCCACCACTAACAAGCAATCGTGTTATTGCGACTTATTCATAATCGGTCCTTAGTTAGGTACACGATCATGGACAGAACTTTTTTGTAAAGTTAATAACCGATCAATATCTGTAACTGGAATAATATAATGTAGCGAAAATGTAGAAGATTGTCGTGTGTTTTAAATTAGTAGATTTCACTTCTAATGAATTTGTAATTCAAGATCACGCTAGTCGCCCATTCCCTAAGTTCACGTTTGCAACGATATTACATCAACGACGTGGAATATTATCGCGTACGTTCTATACGTACATTTTTAAACTAAAGAACGCGCGAGTACGACGCGGGCATCTCGAACGGATTTATCCGCACAATAAAGAATGAAAGCGTGTCTGCTGGAGCAACGCTGCGTCATCTAGACTTGAGGTAGAGCAAGATTCGGGAAAGAGAAAAAAGCGGAATCTTACATTATTAGAAAATAGAATAGCAGATAAACCTCTTTGGCAGTACAGGTTCACACCTTATTCAAACCGTTGCCAGATTTACGTTTAGTCGCTGTTTCTGTGAATCCCAGTGTCAGTATTACTTTGCTCCCGGTATTTTACCTAATACCTATAAGCATATAACAATGTTTACATGTATATATGTGTGTGAGTGTATATTTATATCAGCTGTAACATCATTTGAAAGTATGAGTTTACCATACATATAGCACGCGTTTCACATACTTAACTAAATTTATATCAACTAGAAAAAAAGAGAAAAAAATTGGAAGCAGACTTACTTTGGAAAGATCTACACCAGTCAATGCTTGTACAGCTGGAGGTACTTGTCCTACGAGACGCGTAAGTTCTCCGCTGGTTGCGTCGCTTCCTCCGAGAAGCACGATTTCTTCTGTTCTTGCTAACGGAGCTGCGACCTCAGCCGCGATCTATAGAAGAAAACATCATAGTCAAAAAAATAAAATAACTTATGATAAACATAATATGACACACACAGTACTCACCTTTGGCAAGGCATTTAGAGTTATATTTAATATCGCTGCTTCGCCGTACTTCTTGTAAACTGCCGCTTTCATTCGCATGCGCTCAGCTTCCGATATACCAACGGCTTCTAAAGCGTGGGCTTCCGCTTCTCCAAGCAATCGAATTTTTTCAGCTTCAGCTTTTGCTGCGCTTACAGTCTGAGTTCTGAAATATTTATACATTTTTATGTAAGAAAAATAAAGTGGGAAGTATAACAAAAAAGAAAGTATAAAAAAAAAGTTATTAAAATTATTATAACAGTATCCAAGATATAGAACTCTTAAGTAACACATATACATATATAACTGATCCTAAACATTTTTAAATTGGATTAACGGCAACAATTCGGAAGTCACCTTTCGTTATATTATCTTATTAAAATTATATTAAACGACAATTATGATGTTGAAGATGGTGATAATAATGAAATAAATTATTTCTTAAAAGATTATATTGTGAAAATTATACCTCTTTCCTTCAGCTATTCTTCCCATTTTATAGAATTCAGCTTCGGCTGGTAATCGTACTGTACTTTGAAGTTCATGTTCTTTACGGCGTACTTCTTGTTCCTCAACTTCGATTTGCTTGCGTCTTTCTACGACTTCTATTTGTATCTCTTCGTTTCGTATTCGCTGTTTTATCTTCGCTGCTTGAAGTTCATAAGCTAACTGAGCTTCCGCTTTCTGAAAATGGAAAGAAGAAAAAGATGAGCTTAATAAAAATTCACTATTATCTTATAATCACATCTTACATACATATTATATAACTGTAACTATTTCGAAAAAAATACTTACAGCTGTGTTTACTTCCTGATCGAAATTAGCTTTCTGCAATTGGTAGAGTCTTGCGTTGTCTTCTATCTTCGTATCAGTGTTATACTTTATGTCCATCGCCGATTTCTCGCATTCCGCTTCCTATATCACAAAAAAAGAAAACAATTATAATAAAACTACAAATCATATCTTATATATAATATATATTGCATAATATGTATATATATGTACAGTTTATGAAACAAGAACATGACCGACATAATTTTCAGTCCATAAAGATAGACCTAAACTTCTTGTAGAAGGATGCCGGTAAAAGGCATCTTTATTTATAATGCACTACAGATAAAGTTTTTGTTGTTGAACTTTTCAAAGGCAAAAAACAAATATTTTGTCATGAGTGTCGCGTTATACATCACGTCAAAAATGACTCATAGAGAAATTTTAACAGTCTGTCAAAGAAGAACTTGACCAGTTTAATTTATAGAAAAATTTATTATATAAAATTGAAGAAATATACACATCTTTTCTACTTGGTTGTGTAAAACTAAAATACTTTTATATTAAAAATGCGTCCAGTCGCTACCGTTGTTAATAATTGCCTGATATCTTCAAAACATACTTTCCACTAATTTCAAATTAGTAACAAGTTTCATTTTAGTTTCAATTGAGTAGAATAGATATATGTATTTTCAGTTTTATATAATAAATTTGTCTATAATTTAATCTGATCATGTTCTTTTTTGACAAACTGTATATACACGTATATATGTATATAAACAAAGCTAATACTATATACCCTAATGCCTGCATCGCGATTTGCTTCCGCGACGCCAACATCGGCGTCTCTTTTAACAGCAGCCGTTTGTGCTTTTCCGAGCGATGTTAAATACTGAACGTCGTCGTAAACGTCCTTTATCGTGAAAGAAAGAATCTCGATACCCATACGTCCAACATCTGGCGCAGCGACCTCCCGCACAAGAGCCGCAAATTGATCCCGATCTTTATAAACTTCCTCCACTGAGAGCGTTCCTAAAATAATTTCTCTTATGAGTTCACTTGAAGTCACAACTATAAACTTAAATCCTTAGGATCAAACATACCTAATATAGCTCGAAGATGACCTTCCAAAGTAGACAAAATTGTGGATTTGATCTCGTGAACACTTTTCCCAAGAAATTGTTCGCTGGCTGTGTGCAACAACTCATCAGCCTTCATGATCTTGCATTGCGCTACTCCGGTGACCGTCAGTGGTACACCCTGTGCCGTCTCCACGCTCTCACATACCGGGTTTAGAGTCATCACTTCTAATGATAGCCGTTGCACATCAGTGACGAACCACCAGGTAAACGCATATCCACCGACGATTGTTCTCTTTCTCATTGAACCACAGCACCCACCTAAAAAAAAACGTAAAGTCGTGCGTGCTCGTTAAAAATAAAAAGTAGATCATTTAATGAAGTTTTTGTTTGTTTTTACTCTACATATAAGTAATAATTCCAGAGATTTGTCAGTACACTACTTATCTGTTAATAAAGCTATTAAGTTGAACATGAATATAACAAATCTCTATATAAAAATAGGTTTCTTCTCATTTGTAAAATATATTTTTTCATTTGAGATATTTGCGTTTAAATTATAAGAAGATTTCAAAAATTTATCTTCTAAAACTTTGACAATTCGTAGTTTTACATGTGAGACAGCCTTTTAGAAAAGCGAAAGAGCACGATACATCATCGATTAACACGTAGGTGTGGGCGATCGTTAGACGCACTCTTCTAGTAGCATTAAACTAGGTCAGCCTTGGTAATGCATGAGTAAGTTTGTATCGTAAACTGCGTGTGACGTCACGGAATGTTGTGAATGCGTCGAAGAAACGTGAGACGCGTCACGCGTAACGCATAGCCATTATAAAATGCTCTTGTTAAAATTTTCTTGTATATATATTGCAATTACTATAGCAAGCAACCATGCAAATTATTATTTTTAATTATATATATATATCGCGCTACCCAAATTTATTTAATTAATTTTATTTAACCCATCGCAGATTGTTAGTCTCCAATAACATTTATATTATTATTAAGCTAGGAAAAATACCAAAAATTTATTGTTAATTGTCTACATTTTGCAGCAATTATGTGATTTGCAATAGGTGGATGAGAAATAATATCAGAAAACGGGACCAGATGCGGATGGTGAGAGGGGGAACCCGGCAATATCGGACAAAGAGGAAAATTAAAAGAGAAAGAGAGAGGCAAACCGATCACCGTTACACACGGTGTCTACCGGGTTAAAACACCTAGAAACCCATCTTCAACGAGACATATCATGCGAGCAATCAAGGCTGCAAGGTCGTGATCATAGTGTTGTCAAGTAATATCTCCTCGCCGTAGTTTTTGAATATAAAAGTTAATTTATCAATCTCGATAAATATTCTGTGTTTATCTAAGGATATGTAGTTCATCAGTGTGTCTGTAGACATTTCAAACAATTACTTTGATATGTCATGTGGTGAAAACATCGTGTGAGTGATATCTTTGATTCAGTCAAAGCTGTTGTTTATATGAAATAAACAATAATTCAAATAATTTGTAATAATACAAATATTATAATCATATACACATATAATTTTTCGTGATATTATTAGATAATAGTGTATTATAAAAATACGTGTCAATAGATTAACATTCTTTCTATGGTTGAATTTAAAGAAAAATTGAAGAAAAAGATTCACAATTTACTATTATAAAATAGTAGTGAAAATCAAGTGAAGGCTCCAATAATATAAACAAACTTAATCAAGTAAATTGGCCAATGTGAGCCTAAACACAGTTAACAGTGTGTAAATGTTTTGCAAATTAAATTTATTCAAAAACGTTTAACGTTTCGATCCCCGGATGAGATCATCTTCAGAAAAAGAATACATGAAAAATCAAAAATAAATCAAAAAAGACATTTGACTCGCAAGATGTAAGTTACAAACGTGTTGTTGAGAACGTGTACATGAGAAAACGGATAAACGTGTTGTATCTCTCACAGTTGTAACGAAACATTTGAGTCTCGTATTGTAGACATTTGAGTCTCGTTACAACTGTGAGAGATACAACACGTTTATCCGTTTTCTCATGTACACGTTCTCAACAACACGTTTGTAACTTACATCTTGCGAGTCAAATGTCTTTTTTGATTTATTTTTGATTTTTCATGTATTCTTTTTCTGAAGATGATCTCATCCGGGGATCGAAACGTTAAACGTTTTTGAATAAATTTAATTTGCAAAACATTTACACACTGTTAACTGTGTTTAGGCTCACATTGGCCAATTTACTTGATTAAGTTTGATTATAAAATAGTTTTTTCTAAAAAAAAAAAGTGACACATTTATTTCAAAAATCATATAATTACTTTATCATATTACTTTTTAACGAAAAAATACTAGAAGAATTAATGATACGATCTTTTATTATTGACATATTGAAAAAATATATATTTAATTTATTTGTAAAAAGTTTGTTTTTTCTTTCATATTTATAATTATTATTATGGTCGTTATATAATATATAAATTTATGAAGTTGTAATAAATTCGCAAAAAGGGATTTTTTGTAAACCTCGAAAATTACTTAATATTTAAAATTACTTAACATTTGAAAGTTTGTACGAGCTATTGATATTCATGTCACTTGAAACTTAGACTGTGTTAAGTTTATTGGCTGTTAGCCAGTAAACTGAATTTCTAAAGTAACGCTTGTAAAACTTTTCTATTTCTTTTGTTTTTCTTCTAAAGCTTATTTTAACGATATAGCGTCGTAGAGATTAATTCCGGAGAAAGATAAAACAAAAGGAACATTTGAAAGAAAGTGAGATAAGAATAAAATATGAAATATTCTTCGAAGAGTCACAGCAAACAAAGTAAAAGATTAATAAAACGCAAATACGCAAAATGTTATCTCACTCATTACTTATCCTTTTATTTTATCACGTTTACTTTGTTTTACTTTGATTGTAATATTTTTGTTGTTTCATATACAGTAACAAGATACTTCTATATATGTGAAATTTGAGGGCCAATACGAGGTTGATACTGGTTGTTCGTGTAAAAAGTGATTAATTTCAAAAGCCAAACGTTTCGATCCTAGTTTTGGATCTTTATCAATGGCATCTTTATTAGATGAAATAAATCACTTTTTACACAAACAACTAGTCACAAATCAACCTTGTATTGATCCTCAAATTTCACATATATTGACATTATCACGAGGTCTACACATTGTTTTATTTTAAAGATATTCCTACTTTGATTAAAGTGACTATCAGATACTCTGATACTGAAAGTAATAGACCGAACGAAAACTAAAGAAGCTGTAATTATTGGAAGATAATGATTAAATGATCGGTTATGGAATACGGAACAGAAATATATGAAAAAAGTGAAAACAGTAAAGAGAAAATTGAGTTTTTAGAGAGTATATTAATACCATGTAATTGTTATAAAATTTTTAATGTAAATTTTAAATTGTTGTAATATAAATTTTGTTCTTAATATATAGATATATATACTATCTAATTATATGTATATTAAATTGAATAATACATTAATATTAAAAATAATTATATTGTTAACAATCATTTGTTTTCTCTATAGATCTTTATATCTTCTTATTATTTTTGCATTTGAGATTGTATTTAAAAAACGTATTTTTTATCATTTTTATATTTATTGTTACAATTTTTTTCAGGATTAAACAATTAAAAATTACTTAGAAAAAAAGATTAAAAAACCATGGACATCGGAAGCGTATTAACAGGAGGTTTGACTTCCTCCTTTGGAGGATTGTCATGGTTTGTACCAGCCCTTGCTGCGTTGCTTGCTTACTTCCACTATGAGGTTCTAGATAATGAAGCCCCGCCAATTAATGTACCATCGGAAGCACTGTTACCGTCGTACGATTTTATTGTAATAGGTGGCGGATCGTCAGGTATTTTCTTTTTTTAATTTCTTTAGTTTTATTTTTATAATATTTTGAATGTTTCGAAAACAATTATTCCTTTGATCAGGAGCTGTAGTAGCAAGTCGTTTGTCCGAAATCGAAAACTTCAACGTATTATTACTAGAAGCGGGAGGTGATGAAACAGAACTTTCGGATGTGCCTTTGCTGGCAGGATTTCTACAACTTAGTCAACTTGACTGGAAATATCGCACAGAGCCGCAGGGTGACGCCTGTCTAGGTATTGTAATTTCCACTGCTTTTGCGTCATATACACCTTTGAAAAGTTAACTATTTTTGAAATATTAATATAATCAAGAATCTTTATTAGTTCCGCTAAATCACAAGTGTTATGTTTGCTTTTGTTGCCTTTTCTTTAACATCAAAAAGCATCCTTTTTTTTCTTACATTATTAAATTCTCCATAGGAATGGAGGACGGGCGTTGTAGGTGGCCGAGAGGCAAGGCCATTGGCGGAAGCTCTGTTCTCAATTACATGCTATATCTACGGGGTAATAAGCGTGACTACAACATTTGGGAAGATCTCGGAAATATGGGCTGGGGCTGGCGTGACGTCCTTCCTTACTTCAAAAAATCGGAGGACAACAAAAATCCATATCTGCTTCGCACTCCTTATCATGCAAGCGGAGGACTTCTTACTGTGCAAGAAGCGCCGTGGCATACTCCTCTAGCAACGGCTTTCGTCCAAGCCGGTCAAGAAATGGGCTACGAAAATCGAGACATTAACGGTGCGATGCAAACAGGATTTATGATCGCTCAAGGTACTATTCGGCGTGGCAGTCGTTGTTCCAGTGCAAAGGCCTTCCTCAGACCGGTCAGACTCAGGAAGAATCTTCACGTGGCAATGCACGCGCACGTCACCAAAATACTGGTGCATTCCCAATCTAAGCGCGCTTACGGCGCGGAATTCATCAGAGACGGCAAAGTGTTTCGAATTCGAGCAAAGAGAGAGGTGATCCTGTCTGCAGGCGCGGTAAATTCGCCTCAGCTTCTCATGCTGTCCGGTATCGGGCCAAAAGAACATTTGCGAGAAATGGGAATACCCGTAATTCAGGATTTGAAAGTCGGCCACAACCTACAGGATCATATTGCTTTAGGTGTGTAAGTCAGGATAGAAAAGAGACGCAGGAATTAGTTACTATATGAACACAGATTTATTTCTCATTCGGTTCGTTCACCAGCTCGCTTGCGATTCTCCGACATCTTCTCTTTTCTTCTTTTCTTTCTCAATTTCATAGCAATAACGTCATTCACTTTATAAATAATCAAAATTTAAGTCACTTTTACAATTTAAGATTCTCTTACAGGTGGTCTCACTTTCATGGTTAATCGAGAGATTTCTATGGTAGAGAAACGGCTTCAAGACAATGTTAAAGCTCTGATACAATATTCAGTGTTCAGCGACGGACCTTTGACTGTACTCGGTGGCGTTGAAGGTGTTGCTTTCGTCAACACGAAATATGCAAACGCCTCGATGGACTTTCCCGACATCGAGCTGCACTTCATTTCCGGTTCGACCAATTCCGATGGCGGGAGGCAGTTGAGAAAAATACACGGTCTAACAAAACAGTTCTACGATGTCGTCTACGGGCCGATTAGTAACAACGACACGTGGAGCGTGCTTCCCATGCTACTGCGACCGAAAAGCCGAGGCTTCATTAAACTTCGTAGTAAAAATCCGTTAGATCATCCTCTCATTTACCCAAACTATTTCAAAGAACCGCAAGATATGGCCACGTTAATCGAAGGAGTAAAAATCGGCGTGGCTCTTTCTAGAACCAACGCCTTTAAGCGATTCGGCAGCGAATTGAATCCGTATCAATTTCCACAATGCAAAAAGATACATTTGTTTACAGATAAATATTGGGAGTGCATGATTAGAACATATAGCGCCACTGTGTATCATCCCGTTGGAACCTGTAAGATGGGTCCATTTTGGGATCCCGATGCTGTCGTTGACTCGACGCTTAGAGTATACGGCATTGCTGGTCTTCGCGTCATTGATTCGTCAATAATGCCTAATCTCGTAAGCGGTAACACCAACGCGCCAGCGATTATGATTGCTGAAAAAGGCAGCGATGAGATAAAAAAATATTGGTTAACAATGAATTCGTCTGACAATTTAATGTAAACAATTCGTGAATTACAATTAAAAACTTTTTGTCTCTAAAAATATATATTACAATAATTGGATAATCGGTTGAAATACCGGTGTACATTAGTAAAATCCAAATTAAGAAGAGTGTATATATCAAGACGTACGATAGGCAGAATGTTACGATCTTAATGAGTATTATTTAACAATAAGTATATGTATTTATTTATTACATCAAAGCCTTATAGATTCTATTAATTGAGTATTATTTATTATATTTAAAATGTTTATTATTATTATAGCTAAACTTGACTTTAAATAATAAAACCGAAACGTTCCAAAGGCAATAAATAGGTACTCGTTAATCTCGTACTATCCTGCGTTTTGCTTATCACGTAATTTTCGATATACTTTTTTTTATCTTGAATGTTATATAATATATATAACATCCAAGATATCCGATATATAATATAAAATAGACAGATATATAATATAAAAAATATATAATATAAAAAATCTGCAGTTATAAGCTACGATTTTATGATAAAATATGATAAAAATCTGTATGTTTATATGTATATATATATGCGCGCGCGCGTGTGTGTGTGTGTGTGTGTGTATTTATTTAACAAACAATATAAACATCGGACAAAGTAATCACATTATGCATTAAAAATAATGTTTCAGAGTAAACATATGTATTACGTCTGGTTGTTACAATCAACTTTTATTGTCAAAATTCAAATTTTATCTTACTTTAAATTTTTGGCCGACAGGATAACAAATTAAATATCTCACTTCTACACGTATTTACGTATAAGTAGTTGAAAGTTAAGTTATATAATCACATTCACTTATAAAAACATTTATTCTTATTTATTACTTTTCTGTCTGTTGTAAATTATGCGTCTTGTCTGTGTTCGTAAATTATGCGCCTGTTAACTTTGCTTAATTAATGGTATAGAATTCTTAATTATTCCTTCTTTTTCTAAAAAAAATAAGTTTATTTTTATCATTATCTAAAAGTAGTAACTGTTGCTGCTTAGAAGAATAATGAACAGTAAAGTTAAATTATCGATTTTACAACGTACATATAACATCAAAATACACGTATAGTGTTTGACATCTTTTACATAACTTCAAGAACAAAAGCATTCTATAAAAAGTTTAAATAGTCTGTGTACGTATAAAAAAAAAAAAAAATTAGATCGTGAACCTAATTATTACAAAGATTGATTTTCGAGATGATCCACATAAAACAGTAGTCACAGGGTTTAAATTCTGTTAACGATTTGGAATTATTTGACACTTCGTATTTCAATTTACTGAATAGTTTTTAACGTCAAGGTTACCTCGAAAAACAACCTCTTAGTGGGGATAACTGCATAAATCTCTTGCCTCTTATCTTCGTCTCCAACATTTGACTGCGCACTTCCAAGTAAGCTAATTGTGATATTTATTCTTGTGGTGCAACTAATGAGTACTCCTTCTATTTTTTATTATAGGCTATCATCCACAAGGTAATTACACCTTTTTTATTTATCACAGATTAACTACGTTTTTTAACACACTGCTTTGTATGGATGACCAACGACCGCCCTTTTTTAACTTATTTAACTTATTTTACATTGCGAGCACTTCTTATTTTCCGACATCTATATGACTTTTATTCTCTTTTATTTATTTATTATTTTTTGCGACTGAAGAAGACTCAAGTCAGAGTCAAAATATATTTCACGGTTCTATGTTCATTCTAAAAATTGTTGTATTTTTTTATTATTAAAAATATCTTGGTTTTGGCTCGCAAATTTGACTTTTTTATTATATTAATTTGTATTTACAATACGAGCGTTATATTTAATTATTACTTAACAAATTTAACATATTTTTTAAAATTGTATACTGTCGAAACCATATCGACTGCTATGTTATGCTTATTACACTGAGTGGTCACACTTGAAAGCTATGGATATTTGCATGAACATGATGTTTTCATTTATCAAATTTCCTGCTCAATAGGAAATTAGGATAGTTACTATTAGGATAATTGCGAATAGTTTGCTCCCCATACTTCCCTATCTAATTTTAAAATATTACGAAAAACAATTCTTTTTGGGAAGGCGATCGCACGGAAATAGAGAAATTCCAGGTTCGATTATTGGCCGGGATGTTTTTTTTTTTTTAGAATATTTTAAAATTAAAATAAAGGGTTATATGGGTATTTGTCATATACGAGATGCAAATATAGCACCCTACCTATATGTAGTTAAGAATTTAAGTTTCAATTCAAAATTCACGTGTAATATTTACACAAAGAAATTATATATATATATATATATATATATTTATTTATTTATTTTACAACAAACATCCAGCGTAAGGCTCTCAATAGCTGTCAAATTATTGTTATATATATATATATATATATATATACACATATATATATATGTATATATATTGGAAAGATTTTTGAGTTAAAAGTAAATATATATGAGATTTTATTTTTTTAAAGATGTAATATATATAAATATATAAAATAGTGAAAAAGATAAGTGTCACTAAATGTTTTTTAATTATCTATGTGAATTAAGATTCAGTGACCACCTTTTTACTTTATACATGACGATAAGGTAAAACAATTTTGATATGCACGTGCTGCTTTCTTTTTACGTATAAATAATTATCTCGGTAATACTCACATTTATAATCGTACATGATAGTTACGTAATTATAATAGTTAAATACATAATTATAATGTTAAGACAACATTATATATAGTTTTATCATGATTGTTGAACTATCGTAATTTGAATAACGCAATAAAATAAATAAATTTAAAAATGTGTCACTGCGACACTCGATTAGAGGAATTGTGTAGACAAAACAGCCGAGTATGTTTTTATCTCTTAAAGCACAGTTTTATTTTTCAAAGTAACTCTGAATAAGAAACGTAAAACCAATAGAACACATCCTCTCTTCTAACGTTATCAATCCAATATGAGTGAGTCCTAGATGGACAAAATAAAACAGACACGGCAGGATGTGTGAATCGGACACGACAAGAAACGGATACATAACTGACAATGAGATAATCAAACACAGTTACAATCGGACACAAGTTGAAACGGATTGAAACAGTCTCAATTGGATACATTAGTATTCAAACAAGACTATTTTTTTTTATGTTTTTTTTTGTGTTGTAAACGTGTAGGCAAGAGGAGGCTGCGCTTCCGCAAAGGAGGCTTTGCTTCCTTGCACTCCCTTCGCTTTGCGTGGAAAAGTGAAACCTATGTCGAACCTTGTATCAGTTTTAGCCACGTTGCTTGTTACTGTACGCTATTATAATATTTATGTACTCACTCCGAGCGTACATTGACAAGCAACGTGGCTAAAACTGAAGTAAGATTCCACATAGGTTTCAATTGTCCACGCAAAACGAGGGAAGGTGCAGGAAGGCGAAGCCCACCTTGCGGGAGAGCGCTTCCCCTGCCTATGCGTTTACAACACGAACAAAAGGTACATAAAAAAAGTAGTCTTGTTTTAATAGTAATGTGTCCAATTGGGATCGATTCACACATCCTGCCGTATTCGTTTTATTTTGTGTCCATCTGAGACTTACCCATCCAATATGACCCATATCAAAGAGCCTAAACAAGTGATTTTCTACTTTTATATACTCATACTTGCAAGCATCTTGTAACTTTTTATACTGTAGTAACCTTATTACTAATATATATGTTTTGATACTTGTAAAACTAATAGAAGTATTTCATTTCTTTCAACAGTACACTTATCATAAGGAAATCGTAAACCAAACACTATGATCCGTCCGATCACATCAATATACATGTTAATCGTGCCCGTACTTCTGAATAGTTTCTTCTTATCATTGGATGTTCTCATTCGTAATATACGTCTGGACATTGTGAACAAGGAAGATCGTGTAAAATCATTATCGACTCAAGAACTATTGCCCGAATATGATTACGTGATAATCGGTGGCGGGTCGGCTGGTGCCGTGGTAGCCAATAGATTGTCAGTGAATAAAAATCACACTGTGCTCCTGCTTGAAGCCGGCAATGACGAAGACGTAATAACTGACTTGCCTTTAGCTACTGCGATTTTTCAAAATGCATCTTTAGATTGGGGATTCAAAACAGAACCATCGTCTAATTACTGTCTAGGAATGAAGAATCATCAATGTGCATGGCCACGAGGAAAGGTAGGTTTTTAACGTATTTATAAAGATAAAGAATCAGATGTTTTCTCTTTTATTGAAATATGAAAAATCATAAATTTCTAATTGCGACGACGATATATATGTCTTCCTAATACTTGTCAAAGGTTCTAGGTGGTAGCAGCGTGCTAAATGGAATGATTTATATTCGTGGTAATAAAAAAGATTACGATTCTTGGGCCGATCTCGGTAACGAAGGATGGGATTACAAAAACGTCCTACTGTATTTCAAAAAATCTGAAGATGTTAAAGCCAAAGAACTTTTCAATTCGCCGTATCATCAGACGAACGGCTACTTAACGGTAGAACAGTTTAAATATATCCCACCTATTGTCGATTACGTCATGCAGTCAGCTAACGAACTAGGATACAAATTGACTGATGCAAATGGCGAAAGTCAGACTGGTTTTTCGTATACTTATGGGACTTTAAGAGATGGACTGCGATGTAGCACTGCTAAAGCATTTATTCGATCTATTGCGAACAGAAAGAATTTACACGTTAGCTTGGAATCGATCGTAGAAAAAATATTAATAAAAACAGGTTTGCGAAAAATATTACTGCGCTCTCTCTCTTTATCTCTCTTTCTCAAATTACTATAACAACACTACTATAATTACTTTATCAAATACTAGATATCGCAATATATCAAGTAAAGATAAATAATCAAATTATGTTGATAGATGGCACGTCAAAAGTGGCACATGAAGTGTTATTTCGTAAAGATAAAAAACAATTCACAGTAAGAGCAAAACGCGAAATAATTTTGTCTGCCGGTGCGATAAAATCGCCGCATCTGTTGTTGCTATCGGGGATAGGACCAAGAGATCATCTTGAGAAGATGAAGATACCTGTGGTTCATCACGCTCCAGGTGTAGGAAAGAATCTTCAAGATCACGTGGGAATGGCTGGAATATCGTTGATTATTGATCCCCCTCATAATATTAAAAATCGAGATAATATCTCTGCAAGAATTTCTAACATTATTTCATTGAATACGGCTACTGAAATGCTACAAGATAATTCTGGTCCGATTTTCGCGAACATCGTAAGTGGGGGAAATGCGTTTATTAACACAAAGTAAGCGAAACTTATTTGATTATTTACAAGCCTAATTATTATATTCGATATTTATTTAGTTTTATCTTGTAGATATGCGAATAAGACGATTGATTACCCAGACATACAAGTGATATTTTCGCCTATATCAAATTATGGATTTTTTATGGCACATATTTATCAACTTGAACAAGAAATAATAAATAGCCTGTATTGGAATATTACAGAAAACGTTCAATCATTCGGAGTTTTTCCGCTGCTTCTGAGACCGCGCAGTAGAGGTTTCCTCAAACTCAAATCCGCGAATCCGGATGAAGCTCCTGCCATCGTTCCGAATTATTTCAATGATCCTCACGATCTTCAAGTTTTGGTATACGTTGCATAAATTATGTTTTTATCAGAACCTTTTTTTTTTTTTTTTTTTTTTTTTTTTTTTTTTTTTTTTTTTTTTTTTTTTTTTTTTTTTTTTTAAGAAATATTTTGAACACGAAATTATGTTTTAGATTGAGAGCATAAAATTCGTGGAAAAGCTGAGTCACTCCAGAGTAATGCAGAGACTGAATGCACGGCTGAATCCGAATAAAATGTCATCGTGTTCGCAGTTTGATGGTTTGTCAGACGAGTACTGGGCTTGCTACGCACGACATTTCACGTCTACTATCTTTCATCCTATCGGAACTTGCAAAATGGGACCGGCTAGCGATCCATATGCTGTTGTCGACGCTAGATTAAAGCTCCACGGAATTGCAAAATTACGAGTGATCGATGCATCGATCATGCCGCATATAATCTCCGGTAACACGAATGCACCGACGATTATGATTGGAGAGAAAGGCGCTGATATGATTAAAGAAGATTGGTCACAATTTGATTGATATTAAAGAGTGTCTTTGTAAAATGAAACAAAAAGGAAAATATGTGCACTCTTTTTGTGTTTCTTTTATTCGATTTTATTTATGTTCCAATTTGCATTGGTAAAATAAGATAATAAAAAACTACAAACAGAGATGTAATTGTTGAGTCTCATGATATACTTCGTAGTAATACTTCGTCTGTGCCATATATGCAACTTTAATATTTACTGAATAAAGTTTTCTCATATAGAAAGATTTCAGAATTGATTTGGATCATAAATTTGCCTTTGTGAAACATTATAATATGTAATTATAAACATAAGACCTATTATACAGATTAGAAAAAGATAGGAAAAAGTGTCTTCGTACACAGAACAGTATGTCATAAAAGCGAGAAATATGTAATGTAATTCAAATTGATCATTCAGTGAAAAATTTAAGCGAAAGCTCTTTAACATTTTACAATTGACATATTCTTAATATCTTTCGTATTCTTTGTTTAGTAATTTTGTAAGAAAATGCACTCATATTAGATGCAACAACCAACATTTATCGCATATATACACACATATAAGATAAAATATTTAAAAACATCATCAATGTAAACAATTATATACGTTAATACGTTTTTAAAGTTATCATTTTTTCGTATAGACAATTTGACATATAAACAACGTTTATTTGTGCACATGCATATGTTATGTATAATTTATATTATATGTAAGTCTGTTTATAAAATATGCAATAAATGTTCATAGTATATAAAAAAGATTTTTAATTGGACAGGTTTAATTGAAGGCTACGTGTGCAAAAAATATAACATGGTTTACATTGTTAGATAACGATGTAGTCATATTTTGCGTTGGAAACATGATAAAGCCTTATCGTTTCGTGCGTGACAATAAAAGAAACAAACCTGAATTTGATCTCAGTTTCCTAAATCTCTTAAACAGCATAAAAATGAGCACTGTGTTTTCTCTATAATCATTGACTGTGCCAATAATTGGTGAATTCACCGTAGCGTGAATCGATCACGTGTATGTATAGATGTTTACTCCGAGATTATAATATAATATAATATAATGATTATAATATAATATAATGACGCTTAATCTGTGTGCGCAAGTGCGTGATATTCATTGCTGAGTTAAGTTGTCTTCGTTCACATGTGTGCACTGTGTGCGATGCAATTTTTCACATATTCCGAAATGTAAATCGCGAAAAGATTAATGGTTTTTTTAAATATATAAACCAGTATAAAGGTACAATACACGTCTGCCGAGAAACAACTTGGTAGAACCTGAAGCCAGTGGAGTTTCGCGGTCGGAAATATTGTGCTCGGTAAGACGCATTTTTATAAATGTGCGGAATAAAACGTGTGCTGTAATAATGGTGCGCAACGTTTCCAAACTTATAATTTATGCAAAGCCAATGTGCAAGATGTTTGTGTGACAAATATTATGTTTTCTTTTGTTTATTTAAATGTGTAAATTACCACGCATAATAATGTGAAAGTTGAGTAAATTGAGTATTTCATCTATGTGATGCAAACATCCTAGATAAATTCTTAAATTCAATTAAAATTATTATATGTATTAATTTACACACATTTAAATAAATAAATAATATATACTTCGTACAAGCACATTGACTCACATTGAGTGAATAAATCTTTCATTAAATCTTGATACGGAGTTTGATACTGGACTGAACTTTGTGTGTGTGTGTTGTTAGTTTTTATGTAATTTATATCATTACCCAAGTATACTATTTATACTAGTTATACAAGTTTTATATTGTCTATTTTTGTTTCTCACTACAATATATATATATATATATATTTTTTTTTCAATAATTTGTCAATGTAAAAGTAAGTAGTTCTTTCTTTCTTTTATTTCCTATAAAGTCTTCAAAAGTTTAGTACGTAATCACAAACAGCTTCCTCAACGTGCTTTCTGCTCGGAACAAAGTGATGACGTCACACCACGTGTCTTCATCGACGAATGCTTCAGACCACACGCGATGAGAGTTTCTCGATTAGTATATATAGAATGTTACCATGGGTGTGTAGTTATGTTGTCCCTTATCCCGAACAGTATACATCGAGAAAATGAGCGCTTTGAGACAAGACAAGTCGACATGCTTCGAGTCGATCCTTGAAAAGAATCTGCGGTCTTGGCGGTAAGACAAATCTCAATTGCTTGCGTTCATCTTTATTATAACAATATATCAGACTTGTTTGTTAAACAATATATCACAAAATATAACCGTTTTAAGTGCATGAAATGCCTGTTTTCCTATATTAAAATATATCTTCTCTTTATACCTATATTAAAATATTTTTCTAAAATCTAAGCTTATTTCATTAAATAAGAATACATATATATATTAATGCTATATTTTGAAAGACACGATATTTGCAATGTGAAAAAGATAATAGAAAATAAAAAACATGTCACAATGTTTTTATTCTTGCATACATTAAAATTTGAATTCTAATTCACAAAACGCAAAAACTATCTGTCTTTTGTAAAATGCAAATTAATTTATACTATTCGGAGCTAATGATATAAATTTTTCCGTATCTTGATGCCTACTTACAGCTGCCAATGTATGGTTCAACAAAATTTCACTTGCTCTGACTGGAGAAATTTCTGCCGGGCCTTTCGCGTGTGTGATACATTCGCAATGCTGTATCAGATACTGCATGCTCTTCGATTGTCGTAGTAAACATTTATCACAGATATAATAATACATTGCACGTAGAACGCTTGGAACTGAACACAGTGCATTCTTTGAAATCATCCAAAATTTTCACTAGTATATCAGTAATGTTTAAAAGTCAGTCATTTTTCATGTCATACTTAATGTACCGTGTTGATCGTTATACAGTCAAAAAGTAGATGGAAAAAACGAAAGGAATCAATGATAACTTTATGTAAAGTTACTATATAAATCGTCTGACATTTAGTGTGTGTATATCGTACGGCAAGATAAAATATAAAATAACAGTATAGAGTTACCATTTTACAAGTACGAGAGAAGTTTATTGCAAAACGGGTACTTAATTACTAGCACAATGTCAACGCACGCGTGCGCGCGCACGTACATTATTTGTTGTGTTTGCTATTATTCTTACAAACTGTATATCATTGTGACGTTTTACTCCTTTTTATTCTAGTGTTCATATAACCGACATGTGTCGAAACTCTGTCGCAATAATTTTCGAACAATTACATACCACTTTCATTAATGAACGCGCGACGCAGTCTGTACTTAATAAATGATTATATGATAATTATTTATGATGAAATAATTGAATTTAACATCTACTTGCATTCAAAATATCTATGTAAAAAATATAATCGAACATTCGATTAACATGACTTACATAACTTTTACACTAAACATATAAGACAGTTTATTACTTATTATTATTTGTGAATCCCCTACTGTAAAATTCATCTTTTCTTTGTACTTAATTTGTATCTTTTTTTTTATTTACAGATAATATTAGATTCAAAATTGTAAACATGCAGCAGCACGTTCTTTTGTTAATGTTGGTGCAATATATTATTGCTGTTCCGTTCGACAAACATCAGGTAAGTAAGCTAAATACGCTAATACACACATTGCCTTCAATATTATTGAAATTTGTAACTACTATAATGTATGTAACAATTCTTTTATTTGTCTATTAAATTCTTCTTTTTTTTCTTAGCACAAATATGCGAACGCAATTATTTTAAAATTATACTTAAAATGCTCTTCAGTTTTCTATTGATTATTTATTACTTTGCCGTTATATAATATTTGAGGACAAAAGAATTTTTAACGAAATGTATAAGGTTCTAAGAGCAGTTTGCAGAATGTTTGTGCGGAAAAAGAATTTTTGTTTTATGTCTGTGTAAAGTGATCGTTATTGCAGTCGGGTCAAGTAGCGAGCAGCTCCGCCATTGGATGTTGTTCTTGTCAGTTTGCTGACACACAATATATGCACGGTGTCTGTGGAGAGACAAATGCCTTTATGACCCTGATGCAAACTGTGATGTCTTCCAGATGCGACATTGCTGACCCTTGCCGACGAATAGGCAGCGACCAAGTCCCAAACGTAAACGAATGGTAGAAAATTTACAATAGCTGTCTTAAGAATCGATATAATTTCTAACTTATGTATTTCTTTTTAGTAGATATGTTATCTATCGTCAGTTGCGTGCGCTTTTTATATTTCCTTGTCGCTATAAACAAATTAGCGACATTGTCATCACTTTTTAGGTTCGACTTTGTAATCGTCGGCGCAGGTGTGGCAGGACCAATACTCGCGAGAAGATTGAGCGATAACCCATGGTGGAAGGTTTTACTTATCGAAGCCGGTCCAGAAGAACCTACTATGACAGCTATACCAGGGCTGGCATTTCACGCCGTCAATACGTCGCTTGACTGGAACTTTAAGACAGAACCAACATCGCCACATCCTACCGCTTGTTTAGGTACCAGAAATTATCCTACGTCGTCGATCTAACAAGTTGTTCCGTAAAATCATGCTTAATCTAACCAAACATGAAGAGTTGTAGTTCAAGAATACAATCGTTTATTAACAAAAAGTTTCACATATTGATACAATAAAATTACAAGATATATGTTCTCTTTTTTTCAGAAACAAACGGCGTTTGCACTTGGCCAAGAGGCAAGATGGTCTCCGGGACCGGCGGTTTGCACGGCATGATGTATGCCCGAGGTCATCCCGAAATTTACAATCGCTGGGCTCGAGCTGGAAATCCTGGCTGGTCTTATAACGAAATTAGTCATTATTTCGAACGGGCAGAAAATCCGGTCGATCCGATGATTTTATCGAATATGCAAAGAACTTTGAAGAAAGGTGGTCCAATAAATATTCAGTATTACCCGCACAAGCCGGAGTTTGCAGACGTTCTGTTGAAAGCCGCTGACGAACTAGGTTACAGAACCTCCCGGCTGAAGGAGTATCAACAAACTGGATTTATGATCGCGCCAATGACAATCGAGAACGGAATGCGTCTCACAACTTCGAAAGCATACTTAAGGCCTGTTTACGACCGCCAAAACCTACGAGTGCTAACGAACGCGCAAGTCACCAAGATCCTGATCAGTCCGTGGGAAAAGAAGGCGTATGGAGTTGAGCTTGTGGATAAGAACGGTCACAAGAGAATAGTGAAATGCGGCAAGGAAGTAATTCTGACGGCTGGCGCTATCGGCTCGCCACACATTCTCATGAATTCCGGCATAGGACCCGAAAAAGATCTCACCAAATTAAACATTAAAGTACACAAGAATCTGCCTGTTGGCAAAAATTTGCACAATCATGTATCTGTGGCCGTTCCCATGAGTATCAAGGATGTTCCGCATGAGACTATTACCATGGAGGCGTTGAATGAATATTTAGAAAATAAGACCGGCTCGTTGGCTAGCACCGGAATCACGCAAGTCACTGCATTTCTCGAAAGTAGCTACTCAATCAACGGCGTGCCGGATATTCAGGTCTTCTTCGACGGTTTCAGTTCCACATGTCCGAGGACTGGCCTACCGAATGAGTGTCACAAAGGTGGAATTACCGACTGTCCAGACAGGAGGGAAATTGTAGCGAGACCTACAGTGGTTTATGTAGAGAGTCGAGGCAATATGAAACTTCGCTCAAACAATCCTTTAGATTCGCCGCTCATTTATCCGGATTACTTTACAAAAGAAAAAGATCTATTCGTTTTGCTCGAAGCTATCAAAAAGATCAATAAACTCGTTGATACGGCTGTCATGAAAAAATGGGACCTTCGCTTGGAACAAACAAGAAGTCCATTGTGCAGCGAGTAAGTAGTCTTGTGCGGAAAAAGATAAACTAGATTTTTTTGTACATGCCATCACTGACATTCGCATGCGCAAAATCTGTCAAAAACTTTCTTTATTCTTATTCTTATTCTGTATTGATATAAATGCCTACATAGATAATTCAATCTATACCGTAATATACGTCATACGTTTGATATACATTTCAGCAAGAATAGATTTTATGATCTTATCAATTTGCTCGGTAATGATATATAAAAATAAACACTAATAGCTAAAGGTTTTATTTATCTAGGGATCAGCAAAAGTCAATTGACGCGCGTTTTAACCTGATAGATTTAAGTTTAATAAGTCGAAATAAAGCGTTTTATATCTTAGTGTTAAGAATTTGAATCTTGCTATTTCGAATGATCGTTTCTTAAATTTATATGCAATCAGTGCGTGTAGAGAGGTCAGTTGTTGTCGCGTTTAAATGTCTCTCTGTACGTTCATAATTCTATGTGACATCTAATAAACATCAATTTCAGTTCAGATAGTTTTTTAATTATAATTAAAATAAGAAGGTTTTTCTAAATAGGAAAGATTCAAATCACACACACACACAATGAAAATAGACAAATTACGAGCTAAGCACAGGTTGTTGTGCAAAGTATTAAAACAAAGTTCCGGTTTTGATAATTAATAAATGACATAAAATATCTAAATAATTATAAAGCAATTAACCCTTTTGCTGTTGCAAAATCTAAGGTAGAGCGCGCGTGGTATACGGCAAAACTTTTCGCTGACGCACAAAATCTAGCAGTTGTCGAAACACTCAATTACATTGCATTAACATAAAAATATATAAGTATCGATATTAAATATCGAATGCATATATATCGTCTATATCATTTAAACGATATCAGTTGAACGCACATATGTTCCTAAAGCAGTGAAAGACAGCAGCGAATTAATATTAACACGCTTCAAATATAATACAAAGAAGTTACAAATGAAAACACATTTCCGAGCGAAATGTTAAATTAGCAAGTCAATTAACCCCTTGGCCTATAACCACGAGTCTGACTCGTGGTGAAAAATTTGTGCCATAAGCGAAAACCACGAGTCTAACTCGTGGTAAAGAATTAGAAGGTACACATTTTGCGCCAGTTCAGGTACGCGGCTGAACAGATGAATGGCACGGCGCGCGACCGATTCTCTTGTTTACTATAGCTCGCGCAATTGGCAGATATCGTGTAGGCCAAGGGGTTAAAACTGTTGTTTCATTAATGGATTCACTATATTACGTCGCCAATGCGAATCTTTTCAACCAAGACAAACAATTGCGTTTGACGTCATCTGTCTCACAAAAAATGTCTGTCGATTAATTCAACGTTTTTTGTCATTCATTTATTCAATCAGCGTTAGTCACAGAAGATTCACAAACGCATAAATAAACTAATGAAGTAAATTTTAGAAAACTTTTCAATGCAATAATATGATAAATAAAACAGTATTTAATATACTAGTCTCTCTCAATAATCATAAAACAAAAAAATCATAAAATATGATATAATAATATGTCGTGTCTACAATTTGATGATAGATAATTTTCAATTTTTTCAATGAAATAAGACTTATACATGTTAAAAAATTATCGTCAAAAATTATGTGACAATTCTACAGCTTGTACTTATACATTTGAATACTGAAGCAAAACGTATTGAGGACTCAAATCTAGAATCGTAATGTATGCGCCTTATTTGAATTTGAATGAAGAAGTCTTTGCGTATCATTAACCGCGCTGACCTTTCTTTTTTTCTTTAGATTAGATAAAAAATTTTATGCCAAGAAATATAAACAAAAAGAAAAAATATTTTTCAATGTCTTTTACAAATGTTAATTCTGTGTCTAGATTTTTAGTACATGTGTATTTTTTATTTTGTTTTCATTAGCTATCACTTCGGCACGGATGCTTTTTGGATGTGCCAAATACGAGCACAGACTGGACCGGAAAATCATCAATCGGGAACATGTAAGATGGGACCAAATTCCGATTCAAGCGCGGTAGTGGATAATGAACTTCGAATACATGATATACCAAACATTCGCGTTGTTGACGCTTCTGTCTTTCCCATCGTGCCAAACGCAAATCCTATCGCTGCTATCATGATGATGGCTGAAAAGGCAGCCGACATGATTAACAACGCCTGGCCGAGGAAATTCTGAACGTACAAATTTTGCTATATCGACTTAATTGTAATGTATATTTCTTCAATTTAAATATATAAATCTTTTAAAGTAATTAACAGAATATATATATTCTCGATAAATTCGTTTGATGCAAATTATTCAAAATTCCATTTATACAATCCATGTGAAAGCTTTGGTTTTAGCTGTCGCTTGTTGCAATAAAATTCTTTCTGAGTTTACTTTCCACGCAAAACGAAGTTCAACCTAAACTTACGTATCTAGTTTTTTGACAATGAAGAAATAACTTTTTAATCAACAATGAGCAATGACTAAAATCTCTTGGAACTTACTCAGAAAAGTGTTTTTGACAACATATGTCAAGGTCAAGATCATCAGAAAATTGCCTCCTCATATCTTAATAGTTGTCAAGAGCTTTCTAAAAACATGGTACAATGTTTATATTTTTATTTCCATTTAAAAGTTATAGAATTTCGAAGATGATTTACTACCAGTATTAGTTTTATCCACTACATGAAGATTATGCGGTTTTACCTCTTTGTGTGTATGTGTATGTGTGTGCGCGCGCGCGCGTAATCTTATATACACACCATTGTGTATATAAGAACTGACAATGATAGCTTGCAGTCGCTTCTCTTATTTTTATTATTATAGTTTCTCGCAGCAAGTGAAAATGCTTGAAAATATGCGTGGCAAAACAAAAGTCGCAAGTTTTTATATGAAGTAAGAAATCGCATATATTAAACATTGCGGCATCAATAATATTGAAAAATTTGCAAATTATATTGGACAATTTTTATGAATGAGTTCATCAGTTTGAACATAAGTTAAATAAATGTTAATTATGACAAATGTAAAATTACGAAAAACGATTTAAAGTAGAAAAATATCGCGGAAATGAACTGCAGGCTTTTCATCTTAGTTCTTACACACACACACACACGCGCGCGCGCATGTATCCACGTATGCACACGCGCACGCACATGAAAAGATGCAAAACCTATCGCGTGATTTCTACATGATGTCTTACAAGAGACTCAGACGTTCACTAATTGCTTCAAAGTTTGCACGTTGATAAGAAACCACAAACACAATTTCGTGCTCAAGTAGCAAATTGCATTTCTCAAGCATTCATAAGAAAATCCATTTCAGACTTTATAGAGTATCTTAATATACAAGATGCATACTTGATATATAAATTAACCATTAATAACCATTTCTACAGACTTATGTATAGTTTTTCTACCGAGTTGTTTACTAAAGTCAATGTATTTCTTTTGAATATAATCTTTTCGTTTAAAATAAAACAACTTTTTAAAATTTAATATTTCCTAATTTTTCTTTATAAACTGAACACATTTATTAATTTTATTATAAAGAAACAAAACATACATATGTATGTGCTACAAAAGAAAAAAAATTTTAAATGTCAAATACAACAATTTGGCAACACTGTGCTGATATCTTGTCATCATACATATAGAAGTGAGCTTAACTGTTACCGACTGTGCATTATAACGGAGTGTCTGAATGAGCACGGATCTGTGGCAGCAGACAGGAGAACTTTAATCTTTATTAAGTGGTATTATTATCTTCATACTGTAGTGTTTTATCGCAATCTGTGTTATATTTATATATTTTTTAGCTTTATTTCAAAACGTTTTCAAAAATAGTCTTCCTCAAAATAGTTTTTCTTGTTATAATGTTTTACAATATCTCATCATTTAAATATTTAGATTTACAAAATGTCTTTTCAAAACAAGATGAGTATATTCTAAAATATGTAAATTTTCGTTTTAAACACTTCCTTTTAGTATAAATTATATTTTCTAATTATATGTCTTAACATAAGTATCTACATATTATTAATAACCAAAACAAAATTGGCGAATGGATTCAGATTATTTGAACGAGCAATCACCATCAAATGTATCTGCAAAACGTTAATATGTACGCGGTTTAAAATATTTTCTGATAGTAACTTATGGTAGTAGTTTATTAGTGCATGTCTACAATATATATATAATTGTGCATTGTAAATTTATTATGTGTATCAAAATGAAAAACATTTTGACCACTGAGGCACAATTTTTTCATTTTTAGATAAGTTCTCAATAACTTTGTCTTTTTGTATATCTTTATCCAGAAAATAACTATCGGAAGATATGAAAAAATCGGCAGTGAATCTGGTCTTTTTCAATGTAAATTATCGTTACATGAAATATATCGGATAATAACCTAAACATATGTATGATAGAAGAATTTGCGTACATTAACAGAATCTTATAAAATATGGAACACAAATTATCTTATCTAATCCAAATTTTTTATCTTCTAGATAACTTTCTAAATAAATAAATTCTCGATAACTTTATCTAAAAGATAAAATATATCTTTTTGTCTTTATTTAGAGGATAGGTATGAAGGTATGAAGAAATCAGCAGTTAATCATAAATTTAACTCTGGAAAAATGAATAAATATTTTAGATACAAAATCTTCTTATTACTAAGACAAGTGAATTAAAAGTGAGCTGAGAGAAGTTGAGTTTTATAAAAACATCAGATTAATGGTAATTTAAATTTACAAAATAATACTAATCTCTTAAATCAATCATATTTATCTGTTATCGATAAAATAGACGACTAGATCTATACATACATGTGTACATTTATGTTTTCACGTTTTTTATTATCTATTTAATTATCGCTCAGTTCCATAATGACTCTGTACAATTGAAGTCACTTGCTAGCATTTGTTATGAGTGAATTCCTTTATTAGTTTTACATAACCGCCTTGTCAATTTAATTTAAATTTTTTAATTTAATTTTCTCTTGTTTTCAAACAGCTTCGACTTTATATGTTTATTTGAATTTCGTATGTTTTTTTAATTTTGACAATACTCCTGACACGCAAATTCTTTTTCTAACCTTGACTTTTAAAACTGATTTTACTAGCTTCATTCCCACATATGTAACTGTAAGTAACCATATTTTTTATAAATCTGTCATATTTTTGAGTCCGACAATGTACACAAATTTTATCATATTTTGTATATTTTATTATGCATATTTACATTATTATCTGATACATTTCATATAACGATAATTTACATTGAAAAAGACCACATCTACCAATATTAAAACGCTTGTCTCTTTGATACACATAATAAATAATTTATAACACATAGTCAATCGTATTTTTGCTCTCATTAACCTTTTTTATATTTTTCTGTTTCAAAAAATTTGAAACAATTTAAAGTTATTAAACTTTTAGTTTTTCTAAATATAAGTACTATATAAATATATAAATGTAAATATATAAAATATATAAATATACATATGTATGTATAAAATTTGTTTTTTATAGGATAATAAATTACATAACGGACTGATCATCATGGAAACATGTTTAGCTGCTAACAATGCAGCATTAGCAAGTTCACCGACCAACATTTTCTTGCATCTTATACAAACAATTCTACTGGCATACTCCAACTTGAGTAGCGATAATAACTATCCGCCAGATCGTTCAGAAGAGATTTTGAATTTTACCAATAAGTTCGACTTTGTAATTGTAGGCGCTGGAAGCGCTGGATCTGTGCTGGCTAATCGTTTGACTGAAGTTAAAAAATGGAAAGTGTTGCTAATCGAAGCTGGTAAGAATCCTTCGAGCCTCAGCGAGCTTTCTGTTTTCCCACTGCAGATGAATTCAGAAGAGGATTATTCCTATGACACTGAACCCGAAAATCTCGCTTGCCATGGTTTCAAGAATAAGTTATGCAAATGGGGAAAAGGTAAAGGTCTTGGTGGAAGTTCCACGATAAATGCTATGCTTTATGTTCATGGCAACGATGAGGATTACAACGAATGGTCAAGAATGGGCAACGAAGGTTGGAGTTACGAGGATGTCTTACCGTACTTTAGAAAATCTTTAACTTGTGGTGCGATAAGTAATGATAAATGGAGAAACAAATATTGCGGTCATGGAGGACCGTTAAACATTAGGCATTACAATTACACACACAAGGAAATACAAGAAATGTTTCTGGATGCTGTTCGTGAAGCAAACATACCCGTTCTAGATGCCATTAATGGTGATAAATACATTGGTTACGGTCTAGCTCAAGGAACTTTTGATAAAGGTCGCAGAGTAAGCACCGCAAAAGCTTTTTTATCACCGATCAAGGACAGGAGGAATCTCTATGTGATGAAGTCTTCTCGAGCTGACACTATTCTCTTGGATGGAACTCGAGCAGTTGGAGTACGCGTGACTTTACAAGATGGAAGATCAATTGATGTGAAAGCCTCGAAAGAAGTGATTTTATCAGCGGGAAGTATAGCCAGTCCTCAAATCTTGATGCTTTCCGGCATTGGACCTAAGCAGCATCTACACGAGTTCGAAATACCTAGTGTTGTTGATTTACCAGTTGGTAAAAATCTTCAAGATCACGCCGCCTGGTTCGGCATACACTTAGCTTATAAGAATCATAGCGCAACACCACCACTATTTACAGATATTCTAGATGCAGCTTATGAATATTTAATACACAATAAAGGACCATTACCAAACAGTGCTACTTTTGATCTCATGGGTTTTGTTAATGTGCACAATTCGAGTTCCAAGTATCCTAATATACAGTTTATTCACTCCCACGTACAGCAGTGGCATATACATAAAGGTCAAACTAGTTTGCAAGCGTTTAATATAAATAATGACATAATAAATAAAATAACAAAAACAATGATGGAAACAGACTTACTTATTATTCTGCCGATTCTGCTGAAACCGAAAAGCAGGGGCGAATTACATCTACGTAGCACAAATCCAGCGGATTCTGTTAAGATCTATGCCAACTATTATTCCAAGCAGGAAGATCTGGAAACTATGTTGAAGTCCATAGATTTTGTGAAAAAAATATTGAACACCGAGACAATGAAACGACACGAAGTAAAATTACTTCATTTGGACATTGAGGATTGTCGTAATATCAAACTTGATTCTGAGGAATACTGGAGGTGTCATATGCGACATATGTCGTCTACACTTTTTCATCCAGTTGGAACATGCAAAATGGGTCCTTTGGGCGATCCCACGGCCGTTGTCGATCCTCGATTGAAAGTTCACGGAATAAAAAACCTGAGAGTCATTGATGGGTCTATAATGCCAACAATTACCAGTGGAAATACGAATGCGCCCATAATAATGCTAGCAGAAAAAGGTGCGGATTTAATCAAAGAAGATTGGACGGAAAGCAAAATCGAATTGTAAAACAAACAACTGTCGTGATTTTATTACTAATAAGTGGCGCTTGTAGAAAGCATCATCAATCATTGGTCTTAAAATCCAATGTTTTCAACAAATCTATGATATATTTGTAGAGTTTTAAATACCATTAATGTTATGATAATGATATGATAATAAGAATAAAAAATAAATGTATTTTCTTATATATAGTAGTAAAAAATAAATTCTGTATACTGTGTAAAATTGACGCACCATATATTATTTTATCTTGCACAATCTTTCTCGCCGCTCATGATTTACGACTAATTTCTATCCAACTTTAGAGTTAAAATGAAAACAAAATCTATACATATGTGTTATCTGAATAAATTATATTCAGATTGCGCATGTCTCTTCATATCTAGTAAGTGGAGAGAGAAAATAATAAAGAAAAGATATTGTAACACATTCAGTTGTAAGGTTACTATTTTGCTTTGTATAAATAATTTTGTTTAAGAGTAATAGCAGTTTTTGTAGTTCAAGTTTTTACACCTCAACGATTTTTAAAATGAAAAACGTTTGAATTCAAAACATATAATCCAATTCAGACTATCTTTTTCCGTTTTCAAAAGTTTATATGTTTCTGTCGCTAGTTTTCCAAATTTAATTTCATTCAAAATTTCACAAAAACACACTGTTCTTTAATTAGTTTTATTTAAAAACTCGCTGAGGTGAAAAAACTAGAATTACAAAATTCACTATCGCTTTCAAAAAAAATCACTTTTTATACAAAACAAAACAGTAATAAACTTACAACTGAATATGTTACAATATCTTGTCGTTATATTTTTCTCCTCTGCTTACTAAATATGAAAAGACATGCGCAATTTTAATACTATTTGATCAAACCACATATATACAGCAAAAGAGAGAAAAAGAGAGAGAAAGTAGAAATCAATTCATTAAAATTTATTCTGACAATAATTTTGCTTGTAGTCCAAGTAATAATAAAAATTAATATGCAATAAATATCTGCGCATCTCAAAAAAAGAACATTTCGAGAAAATAAAGAAAAAGTTGTTTAGACATCGCGTATTGTCGAAGAAAGTGCGCACTTATGCTCGCGAACGCGCGTCTTACATTTCGTTCTCGTTTTGAACATCCTAAAGTTGAGTAGAAATCGGTCGTTCCTGTAAATCGTGATGAACGGCGGGAAAGATTGTGCGGTAAGGTGATGGTAGTGGATTGCGAAGGATTTTATTCGTTTAACGTAATACTTTAAGTCAGTCTTTCACTTTCACTGCTACAACGAACTACTCGATTGTGCGCAGAGGGCGTCCTAACACCACGTGCTCCGAGATTCTGTTTTAAGCGTCTTTTTCGTGAGACGTTTGTCAGTGTCGTATCGAATGTATAACACAGTGGTATTTTTATAAAACGAATAAATCATCAATAATTATCATGAAGTGTTTGCATAGATTCTATTTCATAGTTACACACTGTAAGTACAACAAATATTAATAGCAAAAAACCAGAGAATACCTTACTTTCAACTTAGATTTTTTAATTCAATTCAATTTTAATTGACATAAAAAATAGGATCATATAGAGCATGTAAAGCCATTAGCGTATGGGGATAAGAAAAACCGCAGTAATTGCTTACTGAGATTTTAAAATACAAATAAAAGCATTTCATGAATTAATTTTTTCATTTTTCAAAATATGTTTGTGTAATCTCTGACAAAATGTAGAGATAAATAAGATTGAATACGTGAATAGCCTGTTTGCAAAATTGGTAAAAATATGATAAAGTAAGTCACTTTTTCGAAACTTCATTCTTTTCTAGACATTATCTGTTTTGCATGCAACTTACTCGCTTTTGAAAGTGAGTTACGTAATTTTTATTTTAATGAGCTTTGAGAGAGAGAAAAAAAACCAGAATTTTAAAAGTAAAATAAAACCTATGGAGCTAAATCATAGTTATTCGTGAGTTGAGATAAAAGCTGCTGAAAGAACTTCATGTAATGTTTGGAAACGTTTCGATCATTTATATTTTGATCATCATCAGCCAAGCTTTTTTGACACGAGTATTATTTTATCTTTAACTTTTTTCCTTGACAGTAATATTATTTTAACATTAGATTATTTCACTTTTTTCACAAATTTAATTTATATTAATTTTGACTCATCTATGTTTTCATAATTCCGATAACAATGTTATATATTCAATGCGAGATAAAGAAGAGAACCATTATAGTAGTTTTGTTCTGAAAAAAAACGTAGTTTAGTAAAAAGTCACTATAGTGGCGCGTAGGAGAGAGAGAAAGAGAGAAAGATTTAAAGAATTAATAAATTATTTGTTGCTTAAGATGTTGTACATTTAATGCTCTTGTCAAGTAAATATTTTATTAAGAGTAAAAGTAACTTTTAAAAGCATTTTTTATTAATCAAATTTTCTTTATCTGTATCTTTCCTCAGATTCGAGATGATTTGAGTGTTACTATGAACATCACAAATTGGCACGATGAAATAACACAGAAAATCAAAAGATATTACAGCACTCATCAAAAACGAGTTCGATATGATAAAATCTAGCAACAAAAGAAATTAACAAACTTGGCTATTTGACTGTACAAAATCTCGAAAGATCGATATTATTCAATAGTGAAACCAAATTATTTCTCAGAAAGAAAGAGAGAGAGATGAGCTCGCCTATCATAGCAGTAATTAATGGCGCTATAAAAGCGGCCAGTATTCTTCTTGGCGTCAGTTTTGGTAAAATTACTATACTACCACTTCTACTTGCCACGATTGCATATTTCAATTACGATCTCATAGATCCGGAAAATCATCCGCGTGTGACAAAAAATCTGCGAAAAGAATATGATTTTGTTGTTATCGGTGGCGGATCGGCCGGAAGTGTCGTCGTCAATAGGTTGACCGAAAATTCCGATTGGAGTGTACTTCTGTTGGAAGCTGGCGGACACGAATCCGAAATATCAGATGTACCAATACTTTCGCTGTTTCTCCATAAAAGTAAGCTCGATTGGATGTATCAAGCACAGCCACAAGACAATGCTTGCCTAGCAATGACAAATCGTCGAAGCTGTTGGACTAGAGGCAAGGTAGAAAAGACAAATATAATCTACAAAAAATTTTCATTATTATTATTATTATTAATAATTATTAAACTTAATTATTAATTTTATAAGAGTGTTGATGTGTTTCTTTATTTATCAGTTAAACTCTGCTGAAAGTGAAAGCAAAAAACATTCTATCAAAAATTATCTCATTAAAATTTGTTGAAGGACATAAAGAAAAAATTGTAGTTTTATTTGTCGCTTCAGCATCCTCGTGGAGAATTAAAACAAAACAGCTTCTTATGAAACATATCACGCAGAATATAAGAATCCGGTTTCACCTAAAATGCATATGTTGTTTCAACATAGGTTACGTTTTAATTTGAAAAAAAATTTCTGTTTAAATAGCTCGTGTACAAAAGAGAATCAACAATTTCGACATAAAAACATGAAATAAGTAAATGATACATGAATAATTATAGTAACAGCGTTACGTTTATGTCCTAATTATTTATCATTACGTGTCTAGTGTCGAATGTCAAGTATATGTGGCATGCAATCAAATTGAAGTGAAAGTAATTCCCGATCTTGTTGCCACAATAAGTATGTCACGAAAAACAGACAAATATTTTTACAACGAAAATGTAAATATTTATTTGTTATAACAGTTTGAGATTATGTTATATGTGCAATGTTTACTTCATTTTTACAAAATTGGAAAAAACAAACAAGTTAAATATCTTACGAAGCTTCGTGAGATTGTTCACTAAGTGGCTCCCAAATACAAATGCTACTTAGAGCTGACATTATCTACACATTAAAGAAGATATCGATCGATAATTCGCTTGCTAGTGACAGATAATTGTTCTATTTTTTATTACCTGTACATTAATGAGTAAAATAATTTGAATTTTTTTTGTCAGGTTCTCGGAGGCTCTAGCGTTCTAAACACAATGCTGTATGTCAGAGGCAATAGAAGAGACTTTGACTCATGGCAAAGCCTTGGGAATCCTGGATGGAATTACGAAAACGTGCTTCCGTACTTCAAAAAGTCGGAGGACCAACGCAATCCATATCTTGCACGAAACAAAAGATACCATAGCACGGGTATATAGAAAAAGAAATGAGATATTACATACATATACAAGATACATGGTTTAGTTCTTTTTTGCTTTTATTCTAGGTGGTTATCTAACTGTGCAGGATGCGCCTTACCTGACGCCACTAGGTGTGGCGTTCTTAAAAGCAGGAAAAGAAATGGGTTACGATATAATCGACATCAACGGTGAACAGCAAACCGGTTTCGCTTTTTTTCAGTATACCATGCGAAGGGCAAGCAGATGCAGTACAGCTAAAGCATTTGTGCGACCAATTCAGCTGAGAAAAAATTTCGATTTATCCTTATGGAGTCATGTGACGCGAATACTGATAGATCCGCGAAGTAAACGGGCGTATGGAGTAAAGTTTATAAGAAACGGACGCGAGGAAGTCGTATTTGCTAAGAAAGAAGTGATTCTTTCGGCAGGTGCCATAAATAGTGTACAACTGCTTATGTTAAGCGGCGTTGGACCACGTGATCATCTAGAAAAGCTGGGGATTCCTGTGATTCAGGACTCACCTGGAGTCGGACAGAACTTGCAAGATCACATTGGTGTCGGGGGAATCATTTTTCCGATCGATTACTCTTTCACTCTTAGTAAAAGTAGTCGGATAATAAACATTAACACAGCTTTAAGATATGCTGTCACCGAAGACGGTCCATTGACATCAAGTATCGGTATCGAAACTGTCGGTTTTATATCAACAAAGTATGCCAATAAAAGCGACGACTGGCCCGATATTGAATTTATGTTAGTTTCCTCAGGAGTCAATAACGATCGCACAGCACAAGTTGCTCACGGTTTATCAAGCGAATATTTGAAGTACATGTACGATGAAATTAAAGAAACGGATAGCTTTACCATAATACCTATGTTACTCAGACCGAAATCGCGCGGTTATATCAAACTGAAATCCAAGAACCCGTTAGAACCTCCGCTTATGGTAGCCAACTATCTGACTCATCCAGACGACTTGGCAGTGTTGCGCGAAGGTGTCAAAGCGGCCATTGCTTTGGGAGAAACGAGCACTATGAAGAAATTTGGATCGAAATTTTATAGCAAATCACCGCCAAATTGCAGGCATATTCCACAATACACAGATGAATTTTTTGACTGTATTGTTCGACAATACACCATGACCATCTATCATATGTCCTGTACCGCACGAATGGGTCCACTAAATGACCCTATGGCCGTTGTAGATCCGGAATTGAAAGTTTATGGTGTCGCAGGTCTACGAGTTATCGACGCGTCTATCATGCCGGACATTACTAGTGGCAACATAAATGCACCTGTTATCATGTTGGCCGAAAAAGGCGCTGATCTAGTAAAAGCTACGTGGATGCGTCGTTTTAAGAGAAATAATATTAATGTGGCTATTTTCAATATATCAATTGATTAAGTAATTTCACATGACTATACATTGTTAATTAAATCTACAAAAGAATTTTTTAAGTTTTTTATTATTTACCAGAGAAAAAAGAAATTATAAAGTATTAATCGAGTATAACATTATAAAAAGTATTTACCTGTATAAGAAGATTAACAAGATCAAGTAAAACTCAAGCATTTAATATAACAAAAATTTACTGATTTATTTTCAAATATTTTTATATAGGTAGATATTCAATCTCTACATACATACATGTATATAAATCGCGTCTTATTGAAACTATATAAGTGTTCCTTACCACTTTATACGCGTATTTTTATGATGTTTCAACACTCAAACTGATTGTAAAACTAGTTGTAAAAAATAAGATATATTCTCTTACAAGTAAGAAAATTATCTTATTTTACAATTGGTTTTACACTTACTTATAGGTCTTAAACACAAATAAAAAAAAAGATTAACAATTTTTGCTGATTATAATAGTGCACAAATATATCTCATATTTAAATTCAAAACTAATTATCTCATCACTTACTAAAGATTGTTTTTATTCATCTGTAAATTTTTTTGACATAATGAATTTACGAAATAAGTTTCCTAATATTTACAACGTTTACATAGAAAGAGCGAAAGGTTGTATTATATTTAGAAAGTGTAAATATATATCATTAAGTCAATGTAGATAGGATTGTGACAAAGAATGTCACATAGGAAATTACATAAGCGATTATATATAAAAATCGTGTAAGTTTACCGAATAAAAACCGTCAAATTTTCATTAAACATCATTTTAAACAAAAACTACATATATGTGCATATATATACATAAATACACACACGCGCGCGCGCGCACATACATAGTATCTGCAACCAAATTATTTTACTTTTCAAGATTTTGTATTAAGATTTTATTATTACGTTATTATTGCTTATAGAAATAAATTCTAAAAATAACAATAAAATGCAGAATAAAAAATAAAAGTGATGTGAAAATTTACTCAATGTGTGATTGTATCGCGCAAAGTGCATCTGCCGTAACTGATAGTTGATCTGCCGAGCTGATGCAATTGCATCAAGCTGTTACACTCTCTAATGTAACGCACAAGCAAACACTGCTACAATTTACATTAAAAAAAAAAAGAAATCTAGAGTAAAACGTTAGGAACAAAGAATCACTATTTTTTTATTTATTAATATTTATTAGAGAACATACATTTCGAGTAAGATTGAAAAATAATATGACATCTTTCTAACATAAACTCCTAAATACTAAATTGATATTCTATATAATAAATAGATAGAATAGTATTTTCAAAGAATTGTGCTCGATTAATTCTCTACCTAGTAGCGCAATCTACAGACAAATTCAGCAAGCAAGACATAAATAATAATTTGTTTTTCTGTTGATAGATCTTAAGTATAAACTCTCTATTCTGTGTGTCAACAAAATGCGTTGTTTTGCAAGGCTTATCTAAATTGCTATATATTGTTAAATAACTTGCAAGGCTTATCTAAATTACTGTATAATGTTAAACAATTTGGAAAGATAAGTTTTTTCTAAAATTATCCTCTTTAAGTACTATTTTTCTCTAATTGCATGATAAAAAAAAATATAAAACAAAACAATAGTTATGCAAAATAAAGATTACGAAGTAAATCAAAGAACAATTGCTCAGCAATGCGACAGTCGCAAATTTCGCAATGCGAAAAATTATATATATAGATAGTTGTCTGCCGAACGGCACGTAGACATCATGTAAAAGAGAGAAAGTACGCCAATGAACTCTTTCTACCTCTCCTCGTGTAACGGCCACGAAAGCAAAGAGAAAGATGCCAACGTGTTACCGTGCATGAAAGAGAAGAAAGTCTATTCGCTACTCATGTGTACGCTAGCAAAAAATAAATGATATATCGTGCGTGCGATCACGTATCGTAGGTTGCTAGATTCTCATTTGATAACGTTTATTGCAAAATTGTATCAGTGCAAGTGAATTGCACGCTTTTGTTGTATATGATAACGTTTTGTTAAAAACAGCGCTTGACTTGTGTATATATGTATATATATACATATATTTCATGTATACACATATTATTAACAAAACTATATTTGTACTTTAAAGCTCGAATAGCATATGCTACATGTTTTTTTCTCTTATATTTTATTGGCAAAAGAAAAGAGTAATACATGTTATATATACATGATAAAATTTTATATTAACGCATATAATTATGTATATAAAATATATGTTAACTAATAAAATATTCAATTGAAATTTTATATTATTAACACACATACTACGTATATAAAATAAATGTTTTAAATAAATATAAAATATTAAATAACCTGTTCCGAAAAATATTTAGAACAACGAACTTTCTACAAGGTCACGTTTCCATGCAATGTTCGGTATTGGAAGAATATATCAGAAACTCCGGTTTTCACTCTGAACATTCACCACAGCACTGCAGTCTGGTTCTTACCGGCGCTAGTTTCATTTCTCTCGCTGGTGTCTTTCTCAATTTACTATCGGACATACGTGCAGACCAAAGTGAATCTTATCAAACGTAGTTGGTGCGTAAGAGGGAATTCAAGCGAAATGACGAAATTGGAGTGTAACCACGAATAACGGAAAAGTGACGGCAAGAGAAAGTGTAGTAAGGATCGTCTTGCGACATCAGCAATAAGACGAAATTGGAAGATCAACGCAAAAATGTGCACGCAAGTGGCTCTAACAAAGATGAAATTAACAAGAACATAATTAATAATAGTTCTTACAAAGATATCTTTGTAACAATGATACTCACATATCTACAACGTGCTGAATACATAGAACGTTGACGAGACGTCATATAAAAGATGTCATATAACTCAATTCTTATTGGATAATGTTGTTGTTGTCAGACAAGAGGTAAAAGAATATTTATAATAATTGAATGTGTATGCGCAAGCGATGCCAGTACTAAATTGTTCTTACAATACACTTTAGTACCAACCAAACTTTGCAGAAAAATTCGAAAATATTAGAAAAATTTAGTGTAAAAATTAATTAATGTTTATTTGTTTTCTTTCTTTCAGAAAACTTTTGTTCCTGTTGTTGCGTGAGAGAATAATTTGCTTGAATGACATGCATTCGGATACTGTGATGTTCGGCGATGTAAATAATTGGAAATGTCAACTCTACTAACCAGTTTTATTGGCACAACTTCCGTTCTCGGGCTTGGTTTAATTCCACTTTTGGCAATAGGTCTTACCGTGTATAAATACAACAATCTCGATCCAGAATCACATCCGCAAAATGCACAAGAAGTAAGATCACAGCTGGAGAAACAATAACAAAATTTAGCTATCCTGTATTTACGAAATCTGTCTTTTTTTTTTATCACAAAGTGAAGTTTATTATTTTCTATCTTTGCAGTCTATTCGCAGAAGAGATTTTTATTAATTTTTGTTTTTTGTTTCAATATTTAAGATTTAAACGGATTTAAATTTCATGATTTAAGTTTTGCTACATATAATCGTATACGAATTCTAGCTGCTGCGAATGTACGATTTTATTGTGGTCGGTGGTGGAAGTGCGGGTGCTGTAGTCGCTTCAAGATTGTCAGAGGTGGCTAATTGGACGGTGCTGCTGTTAGAAGCCGGCGGTGACGAGAATGAAATCTCGGATATTCCCGTGCTCGCTGGGTATACTCAGCTCACAGATTTCGATTGGAAATACCAAACCTCACCGTCCAGCATGTCTGCTTATTGTCTCGCTATGATAGGCGGCAGATGTTCTTGGCCACGCGGGAAAGTTCTCGGTGGTAGCAGCGTCTTGAACGCTATGGTTTACGTTCGCGGCAATCGGCAAGTACACTCCTTAATCAATAGAATCATAATGCCTGTAGCGAGGTAAAACAATAAAATAATAAGTCGAGGTTTGACTTCTGACTAAAGTGTTCTCCGCAATGATTTTTTCAAATTAAAATTTACAAGAGGATAAAGAAGTTAGTTTTATATACAAGATGCAAAATAAGCATCTGATATAAATTGTCGAATTTAATTCAAATTATAATGTGTATCAACTTGCACTTAAAAAATATTTTGCACAAATATTCAATGCTTAACTCTTACTGACCTTATTATTTCTTTTATATAGTTAACTGTGCTAAGAAAACCGTATGCAATTTAAATTTGATAAAAAAATAACAATTGAAACCATGTTTTAGACACGACTACGACAACTGGGCTCAATTAGGTAACATCGGGTGGAGTTATGAAGAAGTACTTCCTTATTTCCTCAAATCTGAAGACAATCGAAATCCATATTTAGCGAGAACGTCTTATCACAAAACAGGAGGTTACTTGACGGTGCAAGAACCGCCCTGGAAAACTCCTTTGGCAATTGCTTTTCTGCAAGCTGGCCAAGAAATGGGTTACGAAAATCGCGATATCAACGGATTCAATCAAACTGGTTTTATGTTGACGCAAATGACAATTCGACGTAGCGCTCGATGTTCAACGGCAAAGGCTTTTTTACGACCGGTAAAAAATAGGCCGAATCTACATATAGCTATGTATGCTCAAGCCATAAGAGTGCTATTTAACGCCGAGAAAAGAGCAACAGGCGTAGAATTCCTTCGCAATAATAGACAGCAGATTGTGCGATGTAGAAGAGAAATTATCTTATCTGCCGGTGCGATTAATTCGCCTCAGTTGCTTATGCTGTCCGGGATCGGCCCTAAAGAGCACCTGATCGAGCTCGGTATACCGGTAATATCCGATTTGCGTGTCGGAGATAATCTTCAGGATCATGTCGGCCTTGGCGGACTGACTTTTCTTATAAAAGAGCCGATAACTTTACAAAAAGATCGATTTCAGACTTTTTCAGTAATGATGGAATACGTCTTGAAAGAACGAGGACCTATGACCACTTCAGGAATCGAGGGATTGGCCTTTCTTAATACCAAGTACGCTGACAAATCTGGAGATTATCCAGATATGCAATTTCATTTCGCACCAAGCTCCATCAATTCTGACGGCGAACAAATAAAGAAAATTCTCAATTTGAGAGATCGAGTGTACAACACGATGTACAAGCCATTACACAACTCTGAAACTTGGTCAATCCTGCCACTTCTGCTGCGTCCAAAAAGTACAGGATGGATCAGGCTGAAGAGCAGAAATCCTTTAGTTTATCCCGATATTAATCCCAATTATTTTACACATAAGGAAGACATAGACGTTCTTGTGGAGGGGATCAGGCTAGCAATGCGAGTGTCGAACACTAGTGCGTTTCAGCGATTCGGCTCGAGACCTCACACAATCCGTATGCCGGGCTGCTACAATTATCCGTTCAACACGTATGAATATTGGGAATGTGCCTTGCGACACTTCACTTTCTCGATCTATCATCCAACAAGTACATGCAAAATGGGACCGCGGACTGATCCTACAGCCGTTGTAGATCCACGGCTTAAAGTTTACGGAGTAAAGGGACTCAGAGTCGTCGATGCTTCTATAATGCCAAATATCGTAAGCGGCAATCCAAACGCCCCGACCATTATGATCGGTGAAAAAGCTAGCGACATTATCAAAGAGGACTGGCGAATAAAACGAAAACGAAATGCCGGAAGGTGACAAATTAAATTGTTACTCTACTAGAAATTTTTTACTTTCTTAAAATTGTTTTACATATCTTTCCAATTCTATTAATAATATCAAATATTTTTTTATGGTTTATATTTTACGTCCTACGTATTTTCATTTTTTCTCCACGCTTTTTGCAGTGTCATCAATTCGTTTTTCTTTATTATTTTTTTCTTTGTTATCTCGAAAAGAGATTTGTGAATTGAGTTATACTAATCGCAAAAAATTAATAAATCTCAAAAACTTAATGACTAAATAGATTTATATATATAACAAATTTCGATATAAAAGGTATTATGATATAAAAGATATTATGTGTTTCAAAACATATTGAATATAGTATGCGAGTATATGCTGTTATAAAAATGTTCTTAATAAATACATATGTATACAAGTAACCAATATAATAATTCTGACGAGAACTCTATAAAGCAAGAGAATTTCTATGGGCATATATATATATATATATATATATATATATATATATATATAATATACAGGTTGTCTTAGATCTAGACTAATCATATCAAATGTTACTAATAGATTCTTGAAGTTATTTTGACATGGAAATAATTTCGTCGTACAAACGTTCTATAAACTGCAATAGTTTTTAAGAATAAAAACAGTGGTTTTTTAAAACATCGTGATCTACTTTTAAATACCGACGTAATTTTATATAAAATAATACTACACTAATATCTTAAGATTATGTGTTAATTTGCAGATATTTATTAATCTGTTATATATATGATATTAATATTTGTCTCACAAAAAATATTAATTGAGATATAAACATTAGAATATAAATGTACATCGAGTTGTTACAGCATGTAAAATTTGTATTACAAACGACAATATTTGTATATTCTACATATATGTATTAAAAGTCAAGAGAATTGTAAGTGGCAAAGTCACAAAATATCATTAAAGTGGCCATCTTTTGCAACAAAAACTCTCTCTCTCTCTCTCTCTCTCTCTTTCTCTATAAAAAAATCCTGCTTAATAATCGATGCCTGCAGCTAAACTTGTCGAGAATAAAAATGAATTTTAAATATTGCTAATTTATCTAATCACCGTGCGTGTCACGAACATTCAATGCTATCTGTGATATTTTATACAAAGTTCAAGCGTAGCGATGCGGTTGTACTTTGATCAAGCAAAAAGACAATTAAAATCTAGACTAAAAGAACGTAAAAATAAATTAATAATTTTAATATTATAATAATTTAAAATTTTTAAATTAATAAGTTTTAAACAAAATGTATAAAAAGAATACAGTCATGAAACACATGAGGAATTATGATGTCGATAACATTTTTTGTTGCGCGCGCGTGTGACCGAAAAAATATATTTCGACAAAAACGTTCCGAGCTCTCTTTTGTGACAAAGTCACAACACACAAAGTAACAAACTTTTGTTAACATAGTTTGTCGTATAATACCATAGACGTAGAATATATAGACTGCGCGTTTGGCTGAAAAGACGTCTTCATGGTTGACAGAGACAACATTGAACAGTAACTCTTTCTCTGTCTATCAATGTCTGTGGTGGGATCAGGGCCTACTGTTTCATACCACCTAACCTGCCATCACCCCTTAATCTCTTTCACTCTTCTTCACCCCCACTATTTTTCTATCCCCACTTTTCCACTACTATTCTAACAATCAGCGAAGACTTCTTTTTTCTCCACTACTTCGCTAGATGAGGCTACTGTTCAACACCAGCTGTCTCTCTCAACGTTGAAGACATTTTCTTAACATGGCAAAGGTAGGGAACGCGCAGTCTATACATTCTACATCTATGTATAATACCTATTGACATGTAATACGACATTTTACTTTTTAAAACAAGAGCCTGGGGAAATCGCACCAGCAATGTTTTTTCGATTTAGTAAATTGAAAAACGCTCGTGATGCAAAACAACAACAAAAAAGAAACAGGTCAAAAACGAGCTGAACAAATATTCACAAGGGAAGTGACGCAAATGTTCCTCTCTGATTTCGATGAGCTTCAAATATATTACGCGCGGAGACAGCTCGATGCATGCTTATATATTCGCAGATCTTTGTTAATTAAGATCTCGATAATTATTGCAAATCTCGAAAAAAGATATAGGACTCAGTTTTACTCTTTCTGCCTACGAGAGATTGTACACCAATTGTCAAACACCCTGTATATACCGAATAATAATACGCTCAGATATAAAAAGCGTATACGCCCATACTATGTACACTATATCACATTTTATTTCATGTTTGTACAGAACAGTAAACGCATGTGTGTCAAAAGTATTTCAAAAACTTTAGATTTTGAGTTATACTTCGAAAAAAAGATCGATTTCACAGAAATACTATACATTAATAATAATAAAAGTCTGATGTATTCGCAAGTTTTATTCTTTGTTAACTTTTAATGTGAAATTGACGAGTTTACATGCATTTATCATAGAAACACGTAGATATTTTTTTTTTTTATTTGTAAGAGCGGATGTAAGATAGACGATTAAAAATCTTGAACGAAAGAGATCGTAACGACTTTCGAATAGTGAGCGAGCGAGCGTTATTTTATATAACGTTGCATCTCACGTGCCAAAAGTCACGCACATGGAATGCACATTTTCATCCTGGATTTGCTCGAGTGATTTCCGCTTCCTTATCTCATCTGTTGATATACCAAGCAAAACACACACACACACAATAATAATACGTTACAGGCATGCCATAAGCAACATAAACATTTTAGTCTCTTTGTGTTTGGATAACCACAAAATTTAATTGAAATTTCTTCAATTCACAGATTGTTCTTTTAATGCGAAAAAACAGCACTTTTATTTTGTGCCGTTAAACTGATAAAATCGTCCGACGCGTTACACAGATTCCCCGCATCCCGCAAAGAAAGAGGACAGTGAAAGTGACCAACTGCCGTATTTACATAGGACTACCTTGTTTGTTATGTGCGGAAAAAGTTTGCGGGAAGTATAACTAACAAAAGAAAGCGTACTGGAAAGACTGCGAAGAGGTGTTATCTCCGATAATACCAAGAGGAACTGTCATGTATTACGTAAATCTTGAACAAACTTTCTTTCATGTAACCTCGAATTACAAACAGAATTATATGTATTGTTCAGTAACAACGTAACCTCTCGGTTTACGCATAGTAAAAAGATAGTAAAGAAGAGAATATTTATAAAGAATAAAGTATATGCAGCACTTAAGAGCGCGCAAACGTATAGAAAAAAACAGTACTTTATACTTCTTGAAGAGCATATTTGTATTGCAACATTTTTCTTTTACATGACCATTACACAGACCTACAATTTATTACTGTAGTATAGAAAGTGCATTATTAGTTTGAAAGTGAGAATATATAAATATATTTGCTAAGCTAGAACATAATATTAAAGACAAATATTTATATATGACCCTGTATAATACGGTAAAATTTAACTTGTCATATTAAAAACAGTAATTTTGATATATTAATTTTATAAATTTTTTAAAAGCATACTGTTTCTTTTGATATATTTTAACATAATTACACATATAATATATAACTAGATTGTCATTAGAGCCGTAGTTATCCAATTCAACAATTCTCTCCTATCATTTTTTAAATAGATAATAAAATATCAAATATGATAAATTTTGATATTCTTCATGCGATTTATGAGTTATCAAAATAGTGACAGAGAATTGCCACTGATGCAATGATACTAATAATATTACAGAATGTAATAATGTTTCAAGTCACCTAACCGGTTTTAATGTCGAGTAATATTACCATGTCGTTGACATGTACCAAATCAAATCTTGTGTACATTACATATGCAAAAAAACTGAAAAAAAGACGTGCTACATATTTTTATTATATATCACGCAACAAAATAGAATGCTTAGATAATTGAAGATTTCTTTCAAGCGCAATAAAATGCATTGAATAAAGTGGATTATTTTGCGACTTTCCTTGTGCGTCAGCTAACGTGTGTGAAATTTGTATATCATGAATGGTTTTCATTCCCGATGATGCTCACGTAGGGAGCAGATAAGTCTCACACTTGATTGTGAAATGACAATTATATGCTTCTATGCGGCAATCAACATTTAAGTATATTTGTATATCTTTGTGTTTTGTCTAAATATAAAAACTAAGTATAAAACTAATTCCTTAAATAATTCCCAGAAGTTATTGTTTCTCTTATAAAAAATAAAAAAAGTCAATGATTTGAATATTACTTGAATTACGTATAATGAATCCACTTATTACGCACTGATGATTACACTTGTTGTTTATTGAGCCAACAATTTAAATAACATCATCATTTGCATTACAATTTGCGGTACAATTTGTATTGCAATTAGTACCACAGCTTCAAGCCATATCTAATAGATGATTCTAATAAGATTTTTGTAAATTAGTAATTTTTATTATAATGAAATATAATCTCTCTCTAGACGTTTTGCGTTTTTACATAATTTCTTACTGTATTTGTATGTAAATCTTAGTTTTATAGTTTCAAGTGCTTTAGTCATATATATAATTCTTAATCAAGAAGTGAGAAATTATTTGTTAAAAATTAAAATTAGTTTTAATAAATAAAGTGTAATATTTGACAAACTTTTCTTATTCCTATTTTAATTAATAAATTTATCCATGCAATCCGTCATATGCAATCCATCTGCTATATTTTCAGTAACACTTAAAAAAAACCTTATAATTAAGATCAACAGAATATTACAAATATTTTTTAAAGATGTTGTAGACTTTAGAAGTGTAAATGTGAAGTAAAAAACTTAAAATGTCAAAATTTTAATTCCACAATGTGACTGCTATAATTTTTATAATTTATTAGATTATCTATTTTTCCTATCAACACGTATGTGTGTCGTCTAAATAAAAAGCTGCTATTTTTTTCATTCTTGCAAATGTGATTACGTATCTTATATACGCATGAAGATAGCAGCAGTTTACTTAACACATTTTTGCTAGCAAGATACAGATACGTATATAGACATGTGCATATATACAATATATGTACCCGCGTGCGCATACACATATATATGTGTACATAAATATATATAAAATGAAGAAAATACTTTCACTGCAAATGTGTGTGGTTGAGAAACTTTGGTAAGGACGAGAAGGCTAGGCACGAGTGGGAACGAAAAAGACGGTGAGAGTGGAAATGGATGAAGGTATATCGGTGCAGTACCGTACCGCTCTTCTTACTGTTATTACCGACTCTATCGCGATCACTCGATTATCGTCACATTATTTGATGACCTTTCAATATGTGTGCAACTCTTTGGCAAAAGTTATGATGCTAACACGTACGTTGTATTTTGATCTTGTGAAATTCTTTTCATGTAATCATCAGCAAACAGTTTTTCCGAACAGAAATCAAAATGATCAGATTTAGCGCATTAAATTTTCTTATTTATTTCAAGTGAAAATTTTTAGAACGATTATTTATAATGACTGTATCTATTTTTTGTCAGTGCAAAAGTGTCGTAATAAGTGCTGTAATGATAATCAGGTTACAGAAGAATACTGTGTGTCAAGAATTAAGACATCAAAAGAAATGATCCTTGTACTGAAGATGACGTATGTAGTGTGTATAACATTATATTATATAATTGTTTTATTATTATTATTATTATTATTATTATTATTATTATTATTATTATTATTATTATTATTATTATTATGTACATGTA